TATATAAGGTCGTAGGTTCAAAGGGCTACTCTTTTATGTTGGCTTTATTTACATGTGAAATTTTTTCCAAGTGATACAGGGAAATGGATACCATATGTTTCCCAGCTGTTTTGTTCTGACAGGAGCCATTAAAAACGCTCTATGGAAATGAATTCTGTCTGGTTCTTACGAAAACACGTCTTTTCACAGAAGAGTCCAGAAACTGAAGATGGAGCGTCAACATTTTGGCTTGTTGTCCCTCTCCTTCCTCAAACCTATGACTCTTTTTGAGGCTGTGAGTGAGATCTGTGTTTTCTCATCTATGTCTTGATTGCCAAGAAAAGGAATCTCAGTAACAAAAAATGGATATTTCATAGGTTTTCATTAAAAGGCTCCAATGTATTGCTATATTGTATACCTGAATGGGAGGAAGGGCAACTTGATGCTATATACAAAAGACAAAATTCAATTCCTTTATTGCTGCTAAGCTATGTAATCATGTATTTTACGAACAACACAGAAGAGGGGCTATTAATGACTAGTAAGATTTTTCACTTGCAATTATTTAAATCTATCAAAAACTTCACTCTTATTTTATTGCAATACAATAGTAAATTTCTTATCATATATGGAAACAAAGTTTAGACTTACTTTGGTTCCTAGTAAAATTTTGAGAATAAATTTGCTTTCTGGAAATCACGAATAAATTTTTTATATGTTAGCAAAATTTAAATCCCCCTAAATTTTATCTATTTTAGATTTGTACAAGTTCTGTGACAGCAGAGTCTGTGCCTAATTTATCTCTCTATCCCTTAAAGAACCCAGAAAATTGCTTTACATAAGTAGATTCATAATGACTTTTTGTTTGAATGGGCTCATTTTTAACATCTTATAGGAGTAAACATGCCTAATAAGCCTTAAACCTGTCTACCTGATTACACCACAGATTCTCTAAAATGGTCAGTAAGTAAACAGACATGTATTTGCTGCTGATACATAGGCCACAATTATCTCTTCGGATCTAGCTGGCACTTGGAATGCCACTGAGCTTTAGCAAAGTATTTGCCTGCTGACTCTCTATACCCATCTATTGATTGAACAAACATGTGATGCAGTCTTAGAATGTGCAAGGATTCCTGATAGGTGGCCTGTTCTGATCCAAGTGTCTCATCTTTTTTCACCCTTGCCCACTCCTTCTCCTTCCCCTCTTCCCCCAACACATCCAGATGTTGCTCCTCTTCCCAAAACATATTTCTTGTGATAGTGACCTACATGGTAACATGAACACTTATGCAGTCTCCCAAGAGATCTATCTCCAATGCATCCTTGACCCTTCTCTTTCCTTGACCCTGGCCCTTCATCCCTCAGGTACCAAGTCCTGCTGTGTCCTTATTGTGATTAACCTCAATCCCTCTGAATCTGGGCCCTCTTCTTCAGCATCACTAAACTGACTAGACCACATTGGGATCCTCTCCCACAGTCTGCAAAATTTTCCTGGCTTCCCCTGCTCTCTTTTTTTCAGTCCTGAGTTATCCTTCTTCAATAAGCCTGACTTTGTCACCCAGAATCTGCTCAAATATTTCAGGTAGCCCTATACTAAACAATATTTCCCCATATATGGGTACGTACCCTGCAGTATCTAAGGGGCACACAGGAATCATGCTAAATACCCCTGATTTACAGAGTGAGAATGCTATTTACCTTCCAAATTCTCTTTCTTCTTACTAATTAATTTAAGGAGACTCACTTTGGTGCTAGAATGAATTCTACTCCCTTCAAAAAGTTACAATTCCCTATTTGAAAAATGAGACTTCAGGCCTCAGACTCAGCGATGTTCATAAGCAAAGAATTAAAGGAATGTTATATGTTCAATTTATCACATTCATTTTAACGATGACCTTGAATTCACTGCAAGTGACCATGGTTTTCTATTTATAACCAGAGCGACATGAAGTTTCTTTTAAAAATGAATATGTTTAAAAGTCAGGTGTTTTAGAAAAATAAATAAACACAGTACAGGTGCAATACAGGTAAAGCAAAACTAACAGAGGTAGACTTGGGATACAATGTATGTTGTGGAAATGATACTTAAATTACTAGGTTTGTAAAACCTTGGCTTCCGGGATAATAGCTAAGTTCTTCAGCATAATATGTAGCAGTTCTTGTATTCCTTTTCTAATTTACCTTCTCATCTCAGCACGCATAATTCCCAAATCACTAATTTTTCCCTGCAGCTCCACTGCTAAATTCATCGTTTCTAGATATACCACACTCTCCCTGCATTTAAGTTTATTCTTACTTTCCCTTGGCTGTCTTCTCTGCTTGAGACTCAGGCTTATCTCACAAGATTCTACTCGGGGTTTACCTCCTTTGTGCAGTTGCTGTGACTCTCCTAGAGAATAATTGCTCCTTGCTTCCCAGTGCCCTGATAATACCTAGAGTTACATATTTTTGAAATTCTGTTACAACTATTCACTCATGCATCTGTTTCACCTTTCCTCCTGAGAATCCCTCCAGGGCAAAGACAGCCTGAGAACCAACTTGTGTTTATAACCAGTCCCTGATCTAGCAGAGTACCTTGAAGATATTGGGGATCAATGGCTTCTCTTTCAATGTATGGATGAAAGAATAAAGGGAGAGGTGGGAAGGGAAGGAGGG